GAAGGGCGCTTTTAATAGGGTTTAGAGAAAGGTATATAAGGAGTTTTAGGTGTACACTATACTAAATTTAGTATAAAGCAGCAGAGTGCGTTGGTACTTGGTATACCTTATACATTTTCGTTGCTGGGAGCTAAAGGAGTCTATCAATCGCTTTATCTGTTGGTGGAGAGCTTAACATGTGAAAAGCGAGACCGACGACAACGACGTAGAAGAAATTAACGACTTCAAGCCACTACTCAACTGTCTATCGCCGGATAAGTAGGATGAGGTAAAGCCGCTTGTCGATATTTTAGAGAGCCTCTATAAGGTGACAAAGCATTTAGAAGGTAACGTTAGTAACTTTGGCTTTGGCTCCCGTTAGCAGACAATAACTATTTTAACGTTCTTAACATTAACCTTTAAGAGAAGGTTACATCGCTCGCCAAAGAACTTTAGTTCTTTATTAAAAGCGCCGCTAAACAAGGTTATAAGAAGCTAAATTGTACTGGATTAAACTTATTATAATACCGACTCCTTCCGTATACGCGATTGCGACTATCTTTGCCCCCTGGCTTCGATTAGCGTGGTTTAAATAGTAGTAGAAGAACTACCCGGGATACTACACAAAGGCTGAAGGCGACATAAAGCTGGGGTTTGAGGATTACGTCAACCGGCTGGCAGGGGAGGAGGAAGAGGAGGAGGATGTTGTCGAGCAGCTAACGCGGAGGAAGCTTCCTGGCACTTCAAAGTATGAGTGTATGTACGACACCTGTTTTGATATCGATCTACATCACCTTATAGGCGAACGGACGAGAGCGAAGAAGGCGCGTATACTTAATGAGCTCGACAACTACGACACATCGCTTAAAGATGACGTTAAGAAGTTTAAGGAAGGCGATGAGCGACTAAACGAGCCACTGCGTTGGTGGAACGAGGTAGGCGCGAAGGAGAACCCTACTTTGTACAGGATAGCCCTTGACTACCTCTTTATACCCTCGACGAGTTGCGAGTGCGAGCAAGCGTTCAGTCGAGCTAGAATGACTGTTACAGACGACCACAATTCACTCCTTAGCGTTACAATCGAGGCCTTACAGCTCTAAAAGAACTGACTGCGAAACAGACCTGTACAGAGTCACCTGATGGAGCTGGTGGAACACACTGAGAAGGTCGATTATGTGTCAAAGTAGCGTACGTAAGTCTATCCCAACTCTCTCTGCACGTACGTAAGCTGATCCTACTTTCCGTCAGTACACACATAAACTGAGATTGACTCAAAACATGCCTTGAAGGGCTTACGTACATATGCGTTACGTACGGTTGAAAGCGCTGAGCAGGAAATAATCTCCAAGACAGCCACTCTTCGCATTCAAAACAGACGGTTTAGAGACGGATGGCTTCCAGTGTTACGTCTCCTACCTCGCTATGTTGGATGCAACAGTTGGTCCACAATGTTCAAAGTTTTACTAGAATATGGGTTATTCGCTAACGACAAAGGGAGAATATGGCTTGGTTGTGGGTGTACAAGGCCTAGACTTGATCCAAACTGCTACTGCCGCGAGCTCCACTTCCTGGCTGCTCGGCGTAGCGCTCTTTAAAGGGGCTTCTTCTAGACTCTAAGTTAACTCTAGGTCTGGTTGGATCCACAGTGACATATATTGAAGCGTCATCTCGATGCTGCCAGACAGAAAAAGTGACCTGAACGCAGTTCTGGGAATGTTGGAGACAAGTCTCATGAATTTGTCTTCATAGATATTGCGCTTACAAGATCCACACTGAGGGAAATTGAAATCCTTAACATACGCATATTGTCCTAGACGCTAGTCAAGTTGGATTACCTTATCTGGTTGACCGGCAAAACGTATGTCTGCACTTCGGTAGACGCATCCTATGAGTTCATTGGTTGACTGTAGTCATACGTTCCTTCCAGTGCCATGATGCTGTATAAGGAGGTACTGTTACTAACTAGACTTGCTGATCCTGTTGATTTGCGCAACCTTGATGAGTTCTAGCCCGTGAATGACAGACCAGGACGGTTAGAGAACCAGTCTAGTGTACACTTCCCCGAACTTAGACACGTTCGCTTTCACCCAGCCCTTCTAGTAGTCGAAAGCAGACGGAAAAAGCATTCAAGTGTGATGAGCATCATAGTTCTTTTCGGACTACATCTGCTGGGTTGCTCGGGTATCACAAAATTCATCACCAGCTCCTCTTATGTTTTGGCGTGGTGCTTGAGAAGAATTTCTCTTACCGTCTCAAGCAGCCACAAAAATAAACAAAATATCTGGCCTTGTCCTATCGACGACTATCACTTTATTGGGCCGGACCCGACGCTTGAGGTCCCTGTATGCCCTAGGAAAACCATCACAGACAATTCCATCCACAGTCGTAGGAAGGCTTTCGCTACAATTGGTTAGTAAAACGAGTTCGGCAGGGGTTTGAAATTGGGAGCGCCCGTATTTTTTCATCGGCAACGTAGAGGTCAAATTAGATTAGAAAACCCGTGATACCCTCGACTTGGTGCCAAAACATGGAATGCTCAAGGCCCAGGTTGAAGTCTAACCGGGCGGCCATCCCTTCTGTTTGCTTAGGGAAGCTGCAGACGAAGCAGTGGAGGTGGCAATTCGGGTCCAACCCAAACGTACAAAACATGCGTAGCGGAATCAGATCATGTGGTCTCTCTCTAGGGAATATTTATAATAGTTTGCTTGTAGACGTCGTACCGAAGCATAATTTTGTATTAATTCGTTAGTGTTGGTTTGGTAAGCTCGGTACGCTTCTCACTGCTTGGAGAGCTACGTAGCCGCTATGCATTTAAATACTCCGCTCTTGCCTTGCGAAAGAGTTCTTTCCGAATCTTCTGCGGTCCCTGGCCATTTTAAGATATGGAAATATGCTAGTAACTCGCTCAAGTTCCTTGGGTGTAATCTGGCAGTCATTTTGCGTTTTCGGGGCATTCAAATCTCTCGTAATGTGACGCACCGAACATGGTCCAAGTAGGCGGTATTTTGAGGCTCGCCGCGAACAACAGCTTGCGTATCGATTCCAACAGTTTTGGAAACATACGACTGGAAGACGCGATGACCGCCATGCCCCATTGTCCGCCGTCTCTTGGATGGCGTGACAGTATCTAAAGGGTGCTAGTGTGAGAAGGTAAACGTGATACCGACGAACCGTCAAGTCTGTTGCCAAAGGCCCTGCGAAAGGCGTACGAGTTGAGTGGCTGTGTATAACCAGCTCACTGCCCCAGGCCATTCGGCAAGGACCAGAGCGAATTCGCGGTCACTATGCCACTATGCTTGTTGGTGATATAACATAACCAGAACGGATTAGGGAGCGGCAAATTGTCAGCTGCCATTTGTCTTCCTGAATGCGAAATTCGTACGAGCCCGTTGACGGGGGCAAGTGTATATTCGGAGGTGAGAAAGTAGCGGCGGTTTGTTCGTGAACAAATACTCCATCCGCTAGCACAAGGCCTATGAAATGAATTACCGGCCACGCATACATGCGCGACGGATTAGTATCGTTGTAGAATGTTATCCTATCGCTAATTGGCTTCCGTTAGTCCTACTATGAAATTTGGTTGCGAGCTAAAGGGTGTGAACGAATGCTACTTTTCTGCTTCCTTATTGCAGTGGCCTTTCCAATGTTGAAGCCAAACGAAAAGCTGAAGCTGAGGAATCCCGTTGAACCAGGTAAGATGAAAAGAAGTTTCTCCGTATGTAAGCCCTCGGTTGATAAGCCGGTGCGCATTTGACTTGACCGCTTGGCCGGGACGAATTCCAAAGAACCCCAGGAGGAGAAGTATGAATGAGACCTGGGTCATGTAGCGTGAGTGGTGGTAATCGTCCTCGTGGCACTTCCAAATAAAGTAGAGAAGATCTTCAACAGCGACAAAACACACTATATGTTGTTCGCGTGTTTTCGTGATAGCGCCATCAAGCTGAACCAGTTCATCTATGAGCATCTTGGTCTGCTCGATCTCGCTTTTTGAGCGCGTGTGATTTGCAAGAAGACGTATCGCCAGCATCATCTGATTGAACGTAGTATTGCAGTATTGGGTTGTTATTTTCTCTGCTATTCTACCCTTTCTGGTGCGCCCTATATAACGCATAAATGCCCGTATTGCTTTTATGGGTGGTGGATGGGGAAGGGTTGTTCTTCGTCTTGGACAGGTTGTCTGATACGCACGTGGAACTCATTCTATTGCCAGCTAATACGCTGGATGTGCTCGCGTTCGTAGGAGGGAAGCAGACTAGTTAAGGCTCAAATGGAGACTCAGCAGCCAGAGCAGCTAAGTCAGAGATATCATCATATTCATCCATAACTTGGACTAGAGAAAGGAGGGAGCTGAGGCAAAGAAGCGAAGTATGGCCAACGTAGAAGAGGAAGAAGGTAGTAGAAGCAAAGAAGACGACCGACGCAAAAGTGGAGGAAATGCAGGAATGGGTGGAATGACTCACGAAGGAGCTGGTATTTAGGAATATTTTGAGATCGGGAATCTTAAACCCTGTGCACAACCACACAAGAACAATTTTTCAAAAATTTCCCTAGGGAATTCCTTACGTGCAGTATCTAGCATTTAAAGTCTTTTGAAATACTTTCATCGCGTTGTTGTGGTGTGTTTCGATTTCACGGTCACGGTTTTCACTGAAGATATCCCTCATTAAATATTAGCCCCTTCGTAGAGGAATCCACATGCAATTTGCAATGCGCCTACTTGACCGAATGGGCATGGTGCGCTATGGCGGCTTAGGGATCAATGTTGGGTTCTGAAGTGAGAACTACGAGTTTCGCGGATTTCGTGTAGTGAGGAACGAACATTTGGAAATTGAAAAGTAGGAGGCGAAAATTGAAACTTTTGAATGCTTGGCTTATGGCATATACTTACATAACGCCGACTACCAAAGAAAACAGCATATGCGCTTGTTCAACGCGTTCAATAAGGTGTGTCAATTTTGAGATTTTAAAAATTGTGTATATATATTTTAGAATAAGAAACTTTGTTCGAAAATATAGAGATAGCACCGATAGTTTAGGGGTAGAATTGAAGCTTCCCATTCGATGTCTGCTTCAGGCGCGGGTTCGAGTCCCGCTCGGTGCATTTTTTATTTTTGCTCTCCATCATCTCTTGGTGTTGGAGACGATAACTTTTTGTATATCAGAGTGAGAGGGAGGTTACAGTCATGGGATTTCCGCATGGTTTGGTTGGGTGTGTGAGGTGGCATGCGGCATGGCTGGCCCAAGCTCGTCATAGCGGGTACTCACGTAACTTCAGGCTGGAAGAGTCCCCGCCATCTTGGAACTTACTCTCGGCCACACAGCTGCTCCCTATACAACTTACCACCATGTCGAAGATAGAGAAGACGATACAGCGACAGCAACAGAAGTAGAGTCCCTTTTCTTACTCCCCAAGGGCCCCTCGGCTCCCCAAATACCTGGCCTACCCTGCCAACTGCAGCTAACAACCTGTATCCAGAATCGAAGAAGGCCAATACTACGAAGCCCACCAACAACTCCGCGTCATCGCCTCGCGCTACGTCAAACAAAATAACACTGCTGCCGCAACCGATATCCTCTTCTCTGGCGCACAATCGCTGCTCAAGGCTGGCCAAGGTGGCTCGGGCGGCGACCTGTGCATATTCCTGCTCGATGTATTCAATAAAGCGGAGGTGAAGCCCGATGCAGGGAGCAAAGGGAAGCTGTTGAGTTTGCTGAGGGCATTTCCCGCCGGAGAGCCAACGCGGAGGAAGTTCGTGAACGAGATGATTGCGTGAGTTGCATCGAAGTAGGGTTGATATGCAATGGAGGATACTGATGGTAAACTAGCTGGTCCTCCAAGCACGGCGAATATCCTGCCGGTGACCCAGATCTGCATCACATCGCCGGTTCGCTATACGCAGACGGTACATCTTCCTTCACCCAACCCTCTCTATCCCCCTTGTTCTCCCACCACACCTTCCTCGATCCCCGTTGCAAACACTAACAACTGGAATTACAGAACTCGAACCCTACGACGCAGAACGCCACCTCCTCCTCGGTACAAAAGACAGTCCCGAAACCCTCGCGCAGCTCTCCTACTCCTGGTACAGCGCCGACGAATCGCACACTGCACCTCTATATGTCGCCCGTGCCGTCCTCCCCTACCTCATCACCGGCAACTTACGCGCCGCAAACAAATTCCTCCTCCTCTTCACCTCCCGCCTCTCTAAAACCCCTTCTCTCTCTGTGCAAGAAGTCAGCACCTCATCTTCGGATCTGCGCGTCTATCCCAGCCTGCCGTTACTGAACTTTTTGGGGTTGTTACTGTTGGCGGTGGAGCGGGGGGAGGCGGGATTGTATAGGCAGTTAAAGAGTCATTATAGTTCGCATTTGAAGGATGTGAATTGGAGTGAGGCGTTGGATCAGATTGGCGAGATGTATTTTGGGATTAAGATTCCGAGGCAGGGGAATCCGATGATGGATATGCTGGGGAATATGTTTATGGGAGGAGGGATGGGCGGGGGAGGGAAGAAGGGGAAGAAGAGTGATGCGCCGGCGCCTGCACCGGGGTTGGATTGATGGAGATATGAGATGGCGTGGAGATTTAAGGGATGATGGGATAATTCTTAGAAGTAAGTTTATGAGGCTTGAATAGATTAATAGTCACACCTGCGATGAAGGTCAGGACAGCATGTATACCTGTGTATACATTATGTATCACATGAGTATTATGAAAGCGAAAATCGAGCAAGTTCATGCATGTCGCTTTTGTCTACACGATTGCCAGTCTACTCCCATTTCAGATACACTTCCATATCACATGTATGGCATATGTGTTCATTTTCATCCCATCGCCCAACAAATGCATCGATACATGCTACAGATCCTCGTCCTTATCACTAACCACCAGCCTTGGCAGTAGTCTTCTCCCGAATCTTGATTCCATACTTCTCCGTCAACGTCTTCATCAACGGTGCACAGATCTCCGGCGTCATCGGCGCTAAGATGCCCTTCTCCTTGATCGTGCCATCTAATACCTGCAACACGGCAACCGCACATGGCACACCTACCAACTTCGCCATCGCCGAGTACCCCTTCGGATCGCCGTATTCCACGAGAGTGGACGTGCGAGTCTCCTTGCTGCCGTCCTTGTTCTCGATCTCAAATTTATGCTGCAGCATCACGAAGTCGCGCTCGCCTTCCTCGTACTGCATCTTCTCCTCAAGCGTAGCACAGAGTGTATCCAATGGGTTACCTTGGGGAGTGATGGGCTTGTCACTGAAGAGACCAACCCAGCGCAAGCCCTCCAGGATGCGGTTCTTCTCATCTGTATCCTTGAAGTTGGTTCGTGAGCTGATGGCCCAGACGATATCTTCCTCCTTGTTGGATGTGGCTTGGACGATCTTGGAGGTAGCATCTTTCCAAGTCAGGCTAGAGCCTTCCTTGAGGAAGTCCTTCGGTTCTTCGCTCAGGAATCCGATGTCGACAAGGCATTTGACGAATTCGGGGAAACCTTGGTAGCGCAGGGTGCCGCGAATAATAGTCTGGGCTTCGGGAATTGAGTAGCGTTCGCGGTAGGGTGTGCTGTCGCGGTTTGGATATGCGACGAAGGCGTAGCCTGGATAGATGAAATAGGGCTTGGCGGTCCCCATCAGGTCCTCCGATGCAACATCCACAACCTTGCCATCCTTATAGAACTTCGCAGCGTTTCTCAATGCTAACAGCACCCCCCGCGAGCTCCAAGAGAACTTGTATCCAAGAGGATTGTCTGAGTCTTCGGGAGCCGGCAAGCCACCGCAGTATGAAAGGAAGGAGAGTACTTTGCCACCAGCTTTGTGTACTTCATCGATGGTGAGAACAGCGGAGAGATGGTCGATTCCAGGGTCGAGACCGATTTCGTTCATCACGGTGATGCCGGCTTCCTTTGCAGCGGCGTCGAGTTCCATCATTGCGGGCGAGGCGTAGGAAGTTGTGACTACGTTCTTCTTCTTGCGAATGGCAGACTTGATGACTGTGGCGTGGTGGGTGTATGGGATCAGACTGATAACGACCGAAACCTTTTCGACTTCGGCATCGAGGGCGACGTTGTCGTTGACATCGAGCTGGAATATTTGGTTACTAGGTCGCTAAATGAAGACTAGAAGTGTATCATACGCTGATGGCGGTGGCATTCTTGACGCCCTTGGCCAATGCCTTGGCCTTCTCTAAGGTCCTGCAAGCTGATCCAGATTAGCAAAGACCTTTTGTCGTTCCAGTTGTGCCAAACTCACCAACCGTGACTTTGATGCCCGAGTTCCCGAGGATCTCAGCAGTTGGCCGTGTCCTTTGCAATTTGTTATTTGAGTTATATTATGAGAATTTAGATACGACACATACACGAATCCTGCACCAAGCAGGAGGACGGACCTAAATTCATGTTAGGTATCCAGATGTGGAAAAAGGGTGCAGGCATCAGTAACTTACTTGGACGTGCCGAGAATGGCTTCAAATTTGTCAAATTTAATTAGCTGGGAGCCAATTGCGTTAACGCGGAATACTTACGAATCATTGCATCCATGTTGGTTGAATCTGAGTGTCTTTCTGTCCGATAGTAAACAAATATATGGTGTTGTAGGGAAGAGATGAAAATGACTCCGACGCTCGTCAACTTTTCAAAGTTTTGGCGGGGTTTGTTTCGTCCCGCTCCGTCATCGCTCTGCCACGGGCGGAAGCGGGATGATGAGCGGAGTCACGTGCCGTCGAGCACTAAAATAATCCGAAACCTTTGGTGCAACTTCAACTTCGATCGTGAATGCTGCGCGTACCACATTCAACAACGGCCCTTTAACGCATCGAAGGATCTCACGAGTTGATTACAGCGTCAGTATGCTGCATTTGGAAAATAACACATAGTTTAACTTCTGATTTTCTCCAAACAACCGCCCATCATGCCTTCCGCCGTGGATCCAGGAGATGACCTTTATGCGGCCATCAAGCAGGTATCACCCATCACAAACTCATCTGAATATCAATTTTCCTTGCTCATTTTAATAGATATCGCAATCATCTTCAGACTCGGATTACATCGAGCAGCTAGTCCCTGTTATGAAAGATGCCCGCCATGCCGGCCGACTCATGCAAGCTTTCAACCAATTTTCTATCGAACGGGAGAGTGAGATTGAGCGAATGTGCAATGCAAATCACCAGGAGTTCGTCAGCTCCGTGAACTCGCTGCTCCAAGTCAGAGAAGGGACTGTGCAAATGACGACCCAAATCCTCCAGCTCAATCAGTCCATCCAGGCCAGTATCGAGAAGCTCGCCGACCAAAAAAGGGCCTTGGTGGACTCTCGCAGTGTGCGCCAGAACCTCGATGAGACATCCCAGGCCATCAATGCCTGTTTAGATGTGCTTAGGTTAGCAAATCAGGTTCATGATCTTCTCGCCAAGAAGAACCACTATGCTGCATTGCGCGCTCTGGATGAACTACAAACCATTCATCTGAAGGAAGTTAGTCGCTACAAAATCGCCGAAATGATTGAGCAATCTGTTCCCGCAACCCAGAAATTGATTGGTGAAAACGTCATGGGAGACTTGAATACCTGGCTGTACCGAATTAGAGAATCATCACAGTTCCTGGGCGAGGTTGCGTTCTACCACACGGATGGCCGCCGTGCTAGGAACGAAAATAGGGCGGAGGCGGACGAGCGCTTCAGCAAGTTCAAACTAAACTCTGCTATGGAGCTTGTGGCCGACGAAAGGGACGAATTCGATATCCTGAACAATCAAGAGACGGAAATTGAGGTCGATTTCACGCCATTGTTCGAAGCTATGCATATTCATGAGACACTTGGCCGGAGTGATTATTTCAGGACGGAGTACGCTGCGACTCGGCGTAGACAAAAAGATTTAATCATCCCCCAATCATTGAACCTGCAGGACGAAGAGTGTAGTGATTTGAGCAGCTTGCTGGAAAGTATCGCGGGTTTTGCGATTATTGAGAAAGCAACTGTGGCTAAGACGGATAACTTCCGGCAGCTGGTAGATGTAAGTCATTGAGTTAGATAAATAAGTAGATTTGAGCCATGGCTAAGTACATGACAGGCTGACGAACTATGGGACTCGATGTGCCAGAGTTCCATCACC